CTCTCTGTCTCTCTGTCTCTGTCTCTCTGTCTCTCTCTCTCTCTCTCTCTCTCTCTCTCTCTCTTCCATCTTACCAGAGTTTCAAACACTTGCAGCCAAATATACAAATATAATAAAGAAAAAGTTAGGAGAGGAGAGAAAAGGTGAGATCAGGAAGGTGGAAGAAAGAAGGGGAAAGCACAGGGACAACGAGAAGGAAAGCGGGAGGCGAAAGTCTCTAGCCCAGACCACCTTGGCAGGGCTCGCCAGTTCTGCCCGCAGCCAAGCGATGGCTCCATCCATGTGCGCCCCGGGCAGCTCCTCCTGCACGGCAGTAGGCCGCCTCGCAGAGCCTTCCCAGGACTGCAGCGGATGCTGTTGCTGCTTCCCAGGCGCCCGTGGCAGCGACGGGAAGTCCTGGGGTGAGAAGGGGCTGCGGAAAGCGCTCCGAAGGAGCTTCTGGATGTCCTTCAGCAACAAGCTGGACGCAGCGTCCTCCTCCTGCGCTTCTGCACGCATGCCTCTTTGCTGATCCCCACAAGAGACGTCGGGAAGGGGAAGGCAAAGTGGTCCCCCTCCGTGCCCGGACCTCCCTTCGGTCTGCTCCGGAGTCCCAGGGCAGTGCTACCTTCTCTAGCAGCATAGGAAATGTCATTGTTAGCCTAAGTGGAAAGAAGAGAAATTCAGGCCCACCTCCAGCCCACCCCCACTCCCCGGCTTTGTTTTCTGTATTTCGGCGTCCTAGCCTAGCAATTAGGTAGGGGTCAGGTGGGGTAAAGGGCCTCTTTGTAAGTATCACTCTGGGAAACGACTAGCCCCTTGCAAATGTGGGACGCTATTGTTTCCTCTCAGCTTAGAAAACCTCTATCTGCGCAACCCTTTGCCACCTCCTCCTTCTCTTTCCCGCTTTTTCATTGCAGAGAAAGTAAATGTGGGAAATTTGAGAAGAGGGTTCAGCTGGGTAACCTCTTCTTGCTCCCTTTGGAGCTCAAGGGTAAATCACTCAGTTCAGAGAAGAATGACTGCACCGCATAAGGCATGGAAAACTGAATAGCCCCTGCTCTATTGGATAACTGCTGTGAGGTTTGGGACAGAAAGGAACTTTTTTCAAAATGACAGCCTTAGTTGACTTCTTCATTTGCAACCTGACTCAGTTTACTCTCTTCCTCCTGCCTTTAACTGTAGGTGTACTCCCAAGGCTTCATCTTTTGCTCCTCTTTTCTTCTGTCCTTTTATTCCATCCCTTTAAAATCTCACCCTCATAGATTCTGCCTGTAGCTCCAAAATCTCCACTCGGACATCCCACTGGGCTTCAAACTCAGCATGTACAAAACTAAAGGAGATGCACATCAATCGAGAAGTGGCTGGACAAGATATGGTATACAAATATAATGAATACTATTGTGCTCTAAAAAATTAACTAAAGGATGGAGTCAGAGAAACCTTTGAAGACTTACATGAACTGATGCAGCACAAAGTGAGTAGAAGTAGATCAATTTATGCAATGACAACACTGTAAAGACTGTTTTGAAAGATTTACAACTTTCATTGACTCAATATCCAACCACAATTTAAAGAACTAAAGATGAAACATGCTACCTACCTCCTGACAGACTGATGGACTCAGAGTACAGATTGAGACATTTTTTGGACATGGCCAATTCTGGAATTTGTTTTGCTTAACTATGCATATTTTTCACAAGAGTTTTGTTCTTTCTTGGGGCAGGGGCAGGGAGGAGAGATGGGACACAAAAAGGGGAAATTTTTGTTTCATCAGAAAAGATTATATTTAATTTTTAAAAGCTCAAAAGGTCTAAAAGTGAAGCACTGGCTTTAGAGTCAGAGGACTCAATTTCAAAATCTTCCTTTCTTACTAAATGTGATCTTGGGCAAATCACATCTTTTGGACTAGTCTGATCAACTATAAAATGAGGAAAGGTGTTGGACTAGATGGCCTCTAAATCTGTGAGCTATTATCCCTATGATCTATGACCTTCACCACCCTTCCCCATGCCCCAAACCTGCTTCATGTCAGCTTCTTTATTTACTGACTTGTCATCTTTTCTGATCAATTTTGTTAATTGTGAGCAACTGGGTATTACCTTTCAACGCACCATAGTTGCCATGGTAGTTGTTTATCTTAAGGTCCCTCTGAGCAATGTAGAAGCCAAAGAAATGCAGTTAAGTCAGTTAAAGGAGTGTTGAAGTTAGAGCTGGGAAGACTTGAGTTCTAATCCTGCCTCAGAAGCCTCCTAGCTGTATGATCTTGGGCAAGTCAGTTAACCTGCCTCAGTTTCCCCATCTGTAAAATGGGGATGATATCACCTGCCTCATGGAGTTATTTTGAAGATCAAATGAGATAACATGTAAAGAGATTTGCAAACCTTAAAGTGCTATATGTTGGCTTTATTATTTCTATAGCTATTACAGCAAATGGGCAGCTAGGTGCAGTGGATAGAGCACTGGGCTTGGAATCAGAAAAATTCATCTTAACGAGTTCAAATGCAACCTCAGATACTTACTAGCTATCTGACCCTGGGCAAGTCACTTAACCCTGTTTGCCTCAGTTCCTCATCTGTAAAATGAGCTGGAGAAGGAAATGACAAATCAATCCAGTATCTTGGCCAAGAAAACTTCAAAAATGGGGCCGCAAAGGGTCTGAAACAACTCAACAACAACTGCAGTGAATGTGCCCTAAATTCACTGCACCTTTAATGACCACTTTGTCCAGCACCTCTTATAATTTCTATGTAGGTGGAAATTTTTCACCTTCTCTTAATCTGTATCTGGGGACTGGACTTAAATGTGCTCAGCCTTCTCCATATCCCCAAAGTGATTATTCATCTCCCTCAAGCATACATGCACTATGACAGTAAAGATTTTTCATTTTTGACATCCGTAACACATCAAGAGCATGCTCTAGACATTGTCTTTGCTTTTTCTGTGCCTGACACCTGTCATTCTTGCAATATCTCAGAGCATATGGCAGACACAGCTTAAATTTCCCCTTTAAGGTGACAGCATCTCCTATAAACAATAAATAACAATTTCCTGTTATTGCTCACGGTGCAAGTATATAGCATCTGTCTAGTGACTAGCCAAGACTTTGTACCTATACTTCTGTGGATATGGTCAGATTCAGGATGGATAATACATTTTCTGCTCTAAAAGTTTTGCCATTATAGAATCTCTGAGTTAGAAGAGAAATCTGAGGTGCTCTGGTCTAACTTGCCACTGAAGAAGCATCCACTTTATAACATGCCTGGCAAGCCCTCATCCAGTCTTTGTCTGAAGACCCCTAGGGATGAAGACTCAGTACCTCCTGTGAGGTAGGCCACTTTTGGATAGTTCTGATTGTCAGAACGATTTTCTTTCCATCAATTCTAAATCTGCCTCTCTGCAAACTTTCACTCATTGCTGTACCCTCCGGGACTAAGTTAAACAAATCTAGTACCTTTCTCATACTTCAGCCTTTCAAATCTTGAAGACAGCTACCACATCACCCTCTAAGTCCTATTCATCAAACTAAACATCCCCAGTTTCTTCACTTGGTTGTCCTATGGTTCAATCCTGATTGCCTTCCTCTGGATGTTCTCCAGTTTATCAGTATTTCTCCAAAAATGACTGAGAACTGAACAAGGTATTCCAAATGTGGTCTGATCAAAGCAGAGTACAGAAGAGCTATTATCCTATTACCTCCTAGTCTTAGACACTATGCCTCTCTTAATGCAATCTAGCATTACATTGGTTTGTGTGTGGGGGAGAGAAGGGGAGTCATATCACATATGTTGATTCATATTAACCTCAAACTCCACTAAAGCCCCCAGATCTTCTTCAGATGAATTGCTATGTAACCACCCTTCCCCTATTTAGCACTTGGGAAGTTGATTATTTGAGCCAACATGTAAGACTTTCATAGATAGATAGATTGATAGAGACAGACAGAGACAGACAGACAGACAGACAGACAGACAGACAGACAGATAGATAGATAGATAGATAGATAGATAGATAGATAGATAGATAGATAAGCTCCTTGAGGGCAGGGACTGTCTATTATGCTTTGGTTGGAAAGGGTGGAGCGTGGACATTGGAGGCTTCCTTCCAAATCATCTACTTAAGGAGGGGGCCCAGGGCAGTCAACTTATTTCCTACCTGGCTGCAGGAATTCATCATGTCTCTGGCAGAGTATGCTCTTCCCCTCACCTTTTTCAGTTTCTTTTTATGTATTATCTTCCCCGATTAGATTGTGAACTCCTTGACCAGAAGGACCTGTCTTTTGCCTTTCTTTGTCTCCCTAGATTTTAGCACAGTGCCTGACATAATAAGTACTTAATAAATGGTCATTAACTACTATAGTCATAAAAAGGCAGGTTCAGTGGTGTGTGGTAAATATTTAACAACTGGCTCTGGGGGAGGGAGGGAAAGAATGTACCTACAACTCACTATAAATTTAATCTATACTATTAATATTTTCTGTATCACTTTCTTAAGTCTAGACAATCTACAAAACAATAAATCAAGCCCTGATTTGTAACATTTGCTAATGTCCCAGGTTTAAATGCTCACACTGAAAATATAACAATCATCTCTCCTGAGCAGGTAAAAACTGTCTCCAACATGTCCCTGGACAGGTTCCCTCTCTGCTGCTCCCAGCTGGTGTTGACACCTTCTGAACTTCCACCTCATTCCCAAAAGGTAGCATAAGGCATTAGTTCCTCTTCTTAGCTCCCAACAGATGGTGTCAGGTGTTACCCTCCTCCTAGGATAAATGGCTTTCCCTGCAGATCTCTATTATTCCCAGTAGGTGGTGCAAGGCATTACCTTCAGGTGTGGTCAAACCCTGTGTCTGGGCAAATCTTTATATTTCATTTGAGGTGTCTTCATACCAGGGAGAGGGTGGCCTCTAGAATTTTCTCTGTCTTGAAGGAGACACAAGTGATTTTTGTGAAAAATAACACTGGGGATTTTCTACCCTGATAGACCTGATTACAGCTCTAGCAACACAGTGCCAGGCTGAAGACCTTATTTCATTGGCTATTCCCCTTTCCCACTGTTCCTAATTACATAGGAGGCAGAACTCCAAAACCCTCCATCTACAACAGCATCCCAGGCAGAGTGGGACAAAGTTTGACTATGGTAGCTGCAACTCTTAACAGCTTTTTCCTTTAGATACTCAGGAAGACTGCCCTCCACATAAAGAAGCCCCTTCCATTTGTCCAAAAGCTGACACAGCAATCCAATGTGTCCCTAATTATCTCTCAGGTCCCACAGAATATGTCTATGGCAACTGGGTGGGATATGGAAATCAACCCAATGTATTATTACAAGTCAGGCAGCTAGTTGGTAGTGGATAAAGAGCTGAATCTGGAGTCTGGAACACCTGAGCTCAAATCTAGCCCCAAACACTTACTGGCTATATGGCCCTGGTTGTCACTTAACCTCACTTTGCTCCTCTGTGAAAATGGGGATCATAATGGCACCACCTATCTCCTAGGATTATTGTAAGGATCAAACAA